ATGGTAAAGTTGCAGCTCTGCATTTTCTTGCTTGCTCCACTGCTAGCGGAAAGGCATCCACTCAAAGGCATTTTGGGCTCGCTGGCCAGACGTCTTGAAAGAGGTGGGTGTTACCCACACTTCGCCCCGCCACAACGCAACCTGCCGATCGATCGACCGCGGTGTTCTCCCATAGACACTGCGGGGTGGGCCACAGGCGGCGGAGGGGGAATTTAAAACCAGCGAACTGTGGATCGCAAAGCCCGGTGCGCCAACCGGGCTCGCGATGCACCGTGGCATCCTGACGTACGCGACATCAGAATCGGAAGTTAATTGCCCGCGTCAATAACCCATGGAGCTATACGACTCTTCTTCAAGGGTCACTCGGCCAGCAGACAGGCACAGCAGCAAGCGTCCACAAATCACACAATTGAATATGAAAAAAAATACAAAGTTAATTTTAACAATGTGATCTTACAAAAAATTACGCTCATTCGCACTTAACATTCGTCTTCACATACCACGGTTTTTCTGTTGGCACGACTTGTTCATTCTTTGTTTGCTCTGACAATCCTCGGTGTCTACTGAAGGAAGGCAATTTGGAAACTTCTCGCGTAGATCTCTCAGCTCTGTGTGTTTAGGATCAGAACTCCGCATGCGTGCCGCCGGTGCTGTCATCGTGTGTTTGACCCCGGCCACCCTTTGTTAAAGAGACTCCTGGTCTCAATTTATTCTCACCTGGTGAAATAAAGTCGATCGATCAATATCAAATTCAATTACCGGTAACCTTCTGTAGCTACCGTTCTTCCTCCGCTGTGTCATTTGCAGTAAATACTCCGGCTTCACTTGCGCGGGAGTTTACAACAATAAACAAACCCGGGAATTTTACGTCATGATCAGTCGTCAAATGTTCGGACACTTCGCGTCGCCGCCATTCTTATAGCGCGAAGCTATCGCGGAGCCGATTGGTTTTGCGAGATAACCATAAGCGTCATCATGGAGACGTATGGCTACACGTCCCATCAGCCACACGGCCTTCTGGGAGTGCATAATCTTAGCAGCGTTCGGTTCAACACAAACAAAATGATTGAACGGTTTTGATGTTCGGTGCCACGTCAGCAGAGTCAGGCTCGCTTAAATCGATCCTGGTGAATTGCCATGTTTGTCTAGAATCAAGAATATTTATTTATACTGAAGGAATCCGATGAGCTATAACGCTCTTTTTCATCAGATGTCCAGTCGGGGTGGGTAAGAACGTTCCAACAACAAATCACCCAAACACATACCAATAAAAATAGACCCATCTCGATCATACCAGACAAAGCCCACTGAGGTATTAACTTATTGTTCAAAAGCGACCTGGATACAAATGATAGCTCAACAAAGTGGCTTACTATTGTGGATATTTATAGCAGCAAAAGAATATAAATGGTCGAAACGCATGTTCTAAATGTGGAGGCAAAAACCGGATAACCCGGAGAAAAAATCCATGCGAACACAGGGAGAACGTGCAAACTCCAAATATACAGGCATCAGTGTCGGGATCGAAGTCCTCTCAGTTACATATGGGTTTTAGTTAGACACGAAACGATATTATACGTAACACCCAATCATCTTTTACGTAATTGTTGCACGATATATAACTAGTTAAATAAATAAGCAGACACGTGTATGCCTAATCGCACGTTTCACAGGTGAGTACAGCCTGCCAATGTTGCTTTGTCATTTTTTTACCAAATTAATTTGATTAGCAGTTAAGCTTTCACGTTGGGGGAAATTGAGACCCCGTGACGCCTGGGTTCTAATGGCTTAGAACGACGTCACGGGATCTCTAACGGTCGCTGCGTGAGCAGACGGCGCGGAGTATTTTATGGTGAAAACGCCCCCAAAGTATTTACCCAGGGTTGGCTGCCGGCCTCAAAACACCGCAAACTTTTGCAACAAGCGACAAAACGCGCTATCGCTCAGCGATAACGTGTAGATATAAAAACACAGTTACACATGTAAGGTTTCCCAGGGAATGTTCACATATCGTTCGGCACTTGACGTTTTTGCAGTAAGCAGTCTGCCCATTTGGAAGGATTAATTCGCCATCGAGAATATGAAATGCTGAACATTTGCATTGATAAATATGATATTACGTTCCCCAGCTGACCAATAATTGTTCATTTTGAATACAACATATGAAATTACCACCATTTTATGATACGCTCTTAATTTACGTCCTGCCGTTAATTTTTATTTGATTACATTTTTTTCACCTCTCCTAGTGTATTGGCCCTGTTATTAATCTTCTCGCAGTCTGGCAAAGTACACTCAAGAAACCGCTGCAGGGAGCACTAACCATGTCGCCCACAGTTTCGCCAGCGCGGATGCGCACTCACGTGCGTGCACGCGTACCTAAAAGCGCAACGAATAGCTTCTCACAGACCTCTTATTTTTATTCTAAAACAGCTATTTGGACGAATAGGCAAACACAAACAAATGCAGACACAAAATATACACGATCGTTGATCGCCCTCTCTCAAAGGTTCATGACCATCATGCAAGTGCAAAATTGCCTCAGCCGTTATTGCTGGCGCTGGAAGATGATGACGATGATGATAATGCCATCAGCGGAAGGGTTAAGATTCTGTATTTAATTAAAAAGGTGTCGTGGCACGCTCCGCAGTGGCACGCACTACAGACCAGTTTCTCAATTAAGGGAATATATTGCTTCCCAAGCACACATTATTACGGACATTTTTTTTTTGTCAAAGAGAGGCTTCATAATGCTGTAATGGCTTTCCTCTGTGGGGCATTGCTTTTAGCTTGTGTACGCCGAGATGCAGCCATGGTTGCATTGGTTAGCGCGCTGGACTTGCAATCCAGAGGCCGCCGGTTCGACTCCACCTCCCCGCGTGACAGTCGAAACAATCGGCAATTTTCTTGAATACCCCAAACCTCCTCCGTCCGGCCAGAGGTGTAAATGGGTACCACCAGAGGCAGTCGATGGGCAAGTCTCGTGCGGTGAGTGGGTGGGTGGGTGGGGTAAACTGTGGGTACTCCCACCTCTTCCGTGGAGTGGAAGACGAGGCCAAAATACCCTGAAGAGGAGCCCAACATTGCTCCCTTTAGTGGAGGCCCTTCTGGCAGCAGTGGCGTTAGCAAGCAAGTCTGGGCACTTGTTACCACACACTCTTGTGAGTCTGGTCCATCACGAATGCACGCTGATAGAAATTAAATGTTTGTTTTTCGAACTGATTTTTGCATTTGATTTGTTGTACTTACCCCCCGCATCTCCGATTGGCACAGTTGGCTGTGTACGGTGCGAGAGAAGTTCAACGTACATACTTGCATACAGCAAGCTGGTTTGGAGCCACACTGTTTTTACTCTGTCGCAACACTGGCTGGCACTCGAGGATGAACCCCGAACATCTGCCGGTAACCGTAGCGGTGCGCCAGCGCGGCCCGACGCGGAATCACGAAGCGTACCACGGTTGTGCGCGTAACGGAACAACACTTTCACGACCGCGTTTTCGTCGACTCCTTTTGAGGGCCGTGTTTTTGGACTAAACGTGCGGAGCGTTTCGCTGTTCGTTGTAGTTTCGCACGCGAAGCTCCCGCGGTGGTTTTTTTTCTTTTCTGCTGCCTCCCGTGGCTCAAAACGCAGCAGCGGCGGCGGCGGCGGCAGCGGCAACTGGAGGGGCTACGCTTTGAAAGCGCCCCCCATCATGTCCCCGCAACGGTCAGAGCGAGGCTCTTCAGTTTTGCCACGGGCACGTGGGGAGAAACAGATTTGAAATTGGCCCCGTTCGAATTCACCACAATTCCCAGCTGGGCCCCATCAGACAAATGAAATCGAATAATGTTCACCGGTGAGAAAAGGGGGCTCTTAAATAGCAATTCCCAGGCTTGGGCTGACCCGTTTCAAAACCCTCCCGCTAAGTAAAAGGTAAAATAGGTAATGGCGCAGGCCTGCAATTGCTCGCTCATGCCAACTCTGGCTGAAGGTCCTCCTGCACCAGAGGGCATTGACGTGCACACTAACAGCCTATGTCTTTCGAACAAAGCCATTAGGGTGTGTGACATCCACTTCATAACACAATTGGTGGCAATGGTAATGTCCCAGAACATTGCTCACTGACACCACTGGTTGCCGTGGCGAGATGACTACCTCGCCCGGTATACAGGAGGCCGTGGGTTAGATCCCGACCCCAGCGCTTGTATGTTTGGAGGTTTGCATGTTCTCTCCGTGGTCGGGCGGATTTTTCTCCGGGTCCTCCGGTGTTTCCCGGAGGACCCGGAGGAAACATTTAGACACATGCGTTTAGAGTATTTGACTGCTATAAATTTGAACGCGACATTAAGCCACTTCGTTGAGATATCATTTGTGATGACCATGTTGCTTCCTAGAAAAAAGAGCTATGTAGCTCGGTGGGCCTTACCTGGGGAAATAAAAAGTTAGTAACTTAGTTGGTGGCGGCTCATTTGGGGCCCAAAGCAGACAATTTTTCGGCACCCTGCAAACCTCTTTCAATGCAGAAGCTCCTCAATGACAGAGGAGCAATAGGCAGAGATACAAATATAGGAAGGTTAGGGAAATGTGAACAAAAGATAGAGGTGTAATGAGTTGAGAGAAGAATCAGAATCTTTATTCACGTTTCCCTCTCCGTTAAGGACCGCCGTCTCCTCTTCACGTGCATTGGCGGCTTTTTAAATGCTTAGGTTTTTTTTGCGTGTGTTTTTTTTACCGGATTGGAAAACAAAATTGACTCCCCTTGTGTAATTTTGTTGCAGTCCCCTGGCTCAGACCTAATAAGGACACTGACCACTGGGGATATTTACCTCCCTGGTGGAAGCTTTGATGACCGCTGAGCTGACCAAACAGCCCGCAGCAGGGAAGGGGTCTTGTAATGTGGGGCCAGCGTACGGATGTGGTTCACGTTGTGTTCCTGTCGTTGACTTTGATGGAAAGCGGTGGTAAAGACGGGGTTTGGGGAGGGGTGGATTGGCTTTGACCGCTGCTGCTCTGCCCGCAGGTGATTGAGACGAGGAAGGGTCCCCTCGGATGCAGTTCCTACGAAAACCTGGACCTGGTCAGTTCGGTTCTTATCCAGACGCCGGAGAACAAGTTACAGCTTCTTGGTGAGTGCTCCATCCAGGAATCATGTTACGTCTGTGGCTGTTGTTAAACCATGAATCTGGAAATAACTATAAATAAACAAACCCACAATATGTTTTTGTTGTTGTGTTGAACATAGCCCCAACAATTGGATGGAGAGGTCTTGCCTATCCGATAACATCCAGCAAGCCAGCATAATTTATTTAACAAGCCTGCCTCTGTTGATGAGACTGTTTGCTCGCCTAAACAAATCCTGCTGGATAATATCGGTGTAGAAAACCAGTAAGCCAATGAGTTAAACTTTACTTTTTATGCATGCATGTATGTATGCATGTGTGTGTGCGAATGTACAGCACTCAGTCGTTTTACGAAGATTTGATGACCAGACACACGCAAAAGTCTGTTTCTCCACATGAAACAAAATCCAGTCCGTCGGCGTTTTGGGCAGTGTTTTCGCAGCAGCGTTGTGTTTAAGCAGGCAAACTCTGGGCTGGTTTTGACCTTCACGGGTCTCATCAGTGGGGGTCAGGCTTCAGGCTTGCTGCCGTGTGGCCGCACGCTATTGGAAAAGCCGTCGCAGTTAAGCTATTGGCGCAACGTGCAAACGCTGCATCCTTGAACCGATATATGTAGTAAAAGCTATTTTTTTTACACAAAGCTAACAAATCTGCTTTCCTGGCACAAAGCACCACTATTATTAGGGAGTAAAGATTGCGGCTCCATTGCGGTGCTGTTTTTTTTATGTTCTCGTGTAACCCTCGTGAAGGTCTGCTGAGCAAAATATCTGCTGTCCTGTGTGCCTATCTCAAGGTGTATTGCTTCCAAACCCTGGCTTACTCACTTGCTCTCATTCCATTATTGTTCGCAATTCCGGGGGGCCTTCAGAGCATTTGGAATAAATTGCTGCCCCCCCCCCCCCCCCCAACAGATTGTTTTGCCAGAATAGTCATTACGGTTAGGGCAATCCATAAATCCCATACGTGAATTCGAAGCGGGAATATATATTTTAAAAATCCAGCTCATTTACTGCCTAACTGTCCAGATGTATATAAGTTTAAAATTACGGGGAAAGCCAAGATTGAAAAAAAAACAATTTTATTGAAGTGTCGCGATGCTGTCCTGCTTTTACTTTCCCACCCCGCCGCTGGTGAAAGGGCCCTCCACGAGAATGAGAGTCTCTAGTGAGTCACTTGGCCTACTCTTTCACGCTGGCCAGACGTCTTGAAGGAGGTGGGTGTACCCACCCTTTACTCCATCGACACGGGGGCTTGTCGATGGGCTAACTGCGGTGTATCTCTTTCGACTGCTGGCCGGAAAGAGGCAAGAGGGGTAGGAATTAAGAAACTCGCCCCCCATTGCTTAAACTGCCGCCCACGAGATCGAATCGAAAACCAGAGACCTCTGGATTTAAATAAATATATAACGATGCAATATACGTGGCTGCGAACGGACACTCTCATTCACGACCTTCGCCAGTGACCAGCCGCTTCATTGAAAACCCACTATACTTTTAAAATGTAGATAAATAACATACTTTAAAGACTTAAGCACTCTCAGGCTTGGCGAGAGCACATTTGCACGGCCCGGGCCACGTGTGTTTCCGATCCAGCTGATTGAGTTTTCACAACTCCCAGACATTAATTTACTTAATCTGGCATATTTATGACACCTACAGGAGTGTTCCGCGAAACCTGAATAGGTTAATGCACCCAGCGCAGGCGTGTGCGGTCGCGTGGGCGGACTTTCCGTGCTTGTCTGGCGGTGGCGGCGGCTGCAGCAGCAGCAGCGGCGGTGAAGTCTCTTTAAGAGCTGTGGCGAAATCCAATAAATAATACAATAAAATGCAATAAATAGAATTAAAAAAAAACGGAAATTCTCTGCACAACGCTGATAAAGCCAGTGCCTTTTGCACGTCAGCACAGCACTTGTCCTGCATGTATAAGCACCTTCCCCAGGGTGATTCGGCACATCTGCTAACGCGAAAGAAAAAAAATTAAGCCGTCATTACGGCAGGAAGTTCAGGAGTGGACCGTTTTAGACATCATTAAATATTTATCGCTCAATTGGTTTCTTCTTTTTTTTTGTATCCTATTTGTTTTACTGCCGGCTTTTGGCATGAATTGTGCCATCGTAATGGCTTTGACAGGCACATTAACCAAATCAGTCTTGACGCTGACACTGCTGCCACTCTTCGAAATGACGGATTGAAAATTCAAAACCACTCATTCGTTGTTTTTCACACGCACTCGCTGCATTTATGAAATTACGGGCATTCAATTGATCTCATGATGCCGTGGTGTACATGGCGATCACACTCAACGACTTGCAATTCATAGGTCGTCGGTTCCATTCGATCTTTCACCGTGGCGATTGAGGCAATAGCGTGAGCTTCTTATAAATGCTTCTGGCTGTCCCTGTGCAACCAGCCGCAGTATAAACGCGGAGCAACACAGTCAGTCGAATCGGGAGGTCGTCTGTGGTAGGGGTAAAGGGTGGGTACCCCCACCTCATCCACAATGTCTGGCCAGTAAGGAAGAATAGGCCAACAAATGTCCTTCTAGGGTGGCTCTCTAAACCTGCAGCTAGTGGAGGCCCTTCTGCCAAGAGTGGCGTGAGCAGAAACTGGCAGGGAATCACCTCAATACTGATCTGGTGCCATGGTGGCTAGATGTTAACTACTTCGCCTGGTATACAGGAGTTTGATTCCGACCCTGATGCATCATCTACCCGTGGTCGCGTGGATTTTTCTCCGCATCCTCTGGTTTTCCCCTCTGCATTTAGAAACGTGCTTTTAGAGCATTTGGCTGCTATACATTTCCACGTGAAAATCCACTTCATTGAGCTATCATTTGTGACCAGGTCGCTATAGAAAAAGGGCTATATAGTTCAGTGGGCTTTACCTGGTAAAATAAAAAAAATAGTTATAGTTTGAATAGATCTCAGAATGCGACATTTGCAGCAACCGGCATCTCAGAAATTGCACGTTGTGGGAGAGACGGCCAAAATATCAGTCAATGTGGCTCGGATTTTTTCTAAAGTGAGAACATTTCTGCATAATGTATTGTACCTGGCCACCCCTTTTGGGAAGGCCCACACTGGGCAGAACGAGCAAATTGGCAACGTCTGAGATTCAAGTGGGGAAACTCTCTGCCCGTGGCTCACGGGAGGCAAGCATCCCATGCACAGCACCACACGGCAGGGCTGTAACTCAGCGGCGCTAACCATCGAACGGGACCTCATTATAAAGCAGCTGATCGTGGCAAAATTGAACCGCGCCGTTTCCAAAGGCGTTCGATGAATAATAAATAACGACACCTCTACGGCCGCCCCCTCTTCCTCCGCTTCGCCCAACACTAAGTGGGGTGGGGGGGAAGGTGGCCGGGATATCAATTTTCACGATACCGTACGAAACGATATCATACGTCAAGATGGGATCATGGTGCTTAAACAACAACAAAAAATCGCTATTGGCGCGTTGTCTTGCATCCGTGCGTTTGCCGCCGCAAAGCGGCGTCCACGTCTCCCCGTGCAACATTCAATATTCGCTCTGCACGGTGTCCATGCCGCAGCCTGAAAGTCAGGGGCCCACAACCGATGGGTTGAGAACGGCCGTTCTAGAGCGGCTCCCGAGAGCTCTACTCTTGAATAAGGGGGCCCTTCCGCCAGCAGTGGCACGAGTAAGATATTTCGATGCTGCACCCAAATCACCACTGAAAACGTATCCGTTTAAAATGGTTTTCTCTCTTTAGTTATTCTCAAACGTCTTTCTCACTGCTTCTTCACGTGGCTGTTGTTAACTATTTTCCGCCTTTATAAATACAAATTGTTAGTATTTTATTTCGGGGCCACATTTGATCGGGGCAAGCCGAACGCGATGCAACCAGCCAGTGAACAAACACCGAATCACGCGTCTGTGTCAGGCAGTGTCCTTTCCATGGCACTGTGGACAATCTATGCGTTTTTCAGGTGTCGCCCAGAGCAGGGCTTTAACTCGCACCTCCGATTGGCACAGTTGGCTACGTATGGTGCGAAAGAAGTCCAACACGCGCACGTACACGCACAACGGTTGAACCACCCAAAATCAGAATCAGAAAATGTACTTATTCTGGAGGAATCCGACGAGCTCTAAAGCTCTTTATCACAGATATCCATTCGGGGCGGGTAAGAACGTTACAACAATCAATACAAAAAGACGATAGGAGCCCCAAAGCACAGCAAAGGCGAACAAATCACCCAAAAAGCACACGAATAAAACCAAGCCGTCCCCACCCCACCAGGCAAAGCCCACCGAGGTATTAACTTATTTTTTTTATTATTCTTGGTTCTTTCGGTAAAGTCACGTACAAGGGTAACAATAAAATAATAAAAATAACAAATTTTCTTGTTGTGGTTTTCACACCTGATGATGATGACGATGATTGCTTGTGTTGCAGTCGAAACGTCGTGAAAATCGCATTGTTTTATATTTTTATTATTTTATTGTTTCCCTTCCACGTTGGTGACCTTACCGAAACAACCAAGAGCATGAATCCCGGCAGTCACGGAAGCTTAAAATCAAAATGTAACTTATTATTTTTGTTTCCGAAGTGACCGCCGAAAACGCCACCGACGTTTGACCCCACCGCCCACCGCCCCGCGCAGGCATGCAGAGCATCCTGCCGGCGTACCTGCGCGAGCGCTTCGTGCGCGCGGCGCTGGGCCACGTGCTGTGCGACGGGCAGGGCTGGTTCGAGTGCCGCGGCGCCGCCTGCTCGTGCCGCTGCCACGCCGCCTTCCCCGAGTGCAACTGCCCCGAGGCCGACGTGCGTGCCCTGCGGGACACCCTGCGCCGCCTCCGCCAGAAGTGGTCGGCGGCCTACGAGGCATTCGAGAACTCTGGTGGGTGCTGGTGGGGTGCTGGGGGTGCGCGCGGTGCGGGGGGTGTGGGGGCACGGGGTGTGGGGGTGTGGGGGTGTGGGGCACGGGGTGTGGGGGTGTGGGGCGTAGGGGGGTGGGATGGGAAGCGCTACTGGACATCTGTGATAAAGAGCTTCATAGTTTCACAGATTCCTAAAGGAGCATAAACCATCACGTGACAGCTTTTGGCTATCCTTGTGGAGTGTGGGGGTGTGGAGTGTGGGGGTGTGGGGGCACGGGGTGTGGGGGTGTGGGGCGTAGGGGGGCGGGATGGGAAGCGCTACTGGACATTTGTGATAAAGAGCTTCATAGTTTCACAGATTCCTAAAGGAGCATAAACCATCACGTGACAGCTTTTGGCTATCCTTGGCTCTGCCCCCCCCTCCCTCATCTATATAACCCCCTGTCACTAGTGGCTCTTTTGCCTGCTTCAGCAACTGTTTTTTTTTGCTGTGGTTGTCCCACCTGATGACGGACACTTGTGTTGTGTCCGAAACGTCGTGATTTAATTTATTTTTATTTTTTATTTTCTTTACCTACGTGACTTTACCGAAAGAACCAAAGCGTATGGATCATTGCAGTCACGAAAACTTCAAATCTAGAATGAGTTTTTGGCTTGCCATCGAACAAAGATGGTCACCGCATCGAGTGCTTTCAGATGCGCTACCGTGGTCGTCTGGAACGCTCTTCCTTAAGAAGCCACTGGAGCTATGTCCTTTTAAATCTAGATTGAAAATTAATGTTTAAAACTACTTTTCGTGTTTAGTTTGTGGTCCTCCCCCCGCACCTCCGATTAGCACGGTTGGCTACGTACGGTGCAAAATAAGTTTAACATACATCGAGTCTAAATAAAGAATCAGAGTCTGCGCATTAACCGCTCGTTGCGGAGGCGATGTCTGTGATTATTTGTGCCTCGTGAGTAGTTGTCTGTTCGAGAGCGAGCAATTACTGTGTTGCGCATTACAAGTGGACATCATCTATTGCCACACTATGCAAAATTGCAGTTGAGTGGGAAGTCATTCATCCATGACGACGCATTTTCGAATTCCGCATTATTTTTGAGCCTAAACATCGTAAAATGTCGCCTGTAAACTACACATCGCACACACTTTATCCCTCCACTCTCTTGTGCCCCGCTCTGAATACGGACCGGCACTTAAAACATGTGAGCCTTATTTACATTCCGTTCATTTAAAAAAAGAAAAAAGGACAGCGTTGCATCGTGACATCCGTGGTAAATTACCTTCGCGTCAGTTCTCGGGACGCGACGACAGGCACTTACTGGCGACAGAATTGAATGCCAGCGGAGGGTGGCGTGAAATGACCTCACCACCGACTACTTTGAGCGCCTAGTGAGCGTTGACCATGTCCCAAGTGCTGTAGTCCCGCGAAACAGCCAGGTCAAACCGAAGCACAAACCGTTCGCGAAAAATTGCGGCATTGTCACTCTACCAGGCTCTCATCAGCTCCGAGAGGCCCTCGGAGCAAACGGGTGAAATTGGCAGCTGGGTCCTGCCACCCGTCTTGTGTGCCCGCGGTGAATTGGATCTCACAAATAAAAAGGGGCTCCTTGTTCACCTGTCGCTCATTGAGCGGTGCCAATTGAATGTACAGTATTGCGTCTGAAATGTATTTTCTTTTTCAAAGGTGAAATTAAGCTTTTTTTTTGTTGTTGCGGGAGAGCAGTTTCTATTCTAGCTATTGAACTGCTTGCCCGCTCTCGGCCGCCGCAGCGTTTACCCCGTTGTCTGTCGCGCTAACCACCGCGCAGGAGGCGACTTAATAATAATTTCACAACAAAAAAAGGAGGACGGTGCGGGACAATGTGCAAAGTCCCCGCTGGGTTCAATAAACTTTCACGGAAAGGGCCAGAACTAACAATTCTCACGGGATCCCAACGGAACTAAGAACTATTGGCAATTTGATAAAATGACCGACAAAAAAAAAAACATCTGCCGGTCCCCGTGGCCACCGCGGGAGATTTCAGCAAATGAAGTGGCCAAAGCAGCAGCAATTTCATTTTACTGCATATTGGCGATGTGATAGCTGTAGCGTTTGGTATGTGGGTGCGATGCTGTGCAGGGCTCATGGCAGGAGTTCCGTTTGAATTGCACGCAACGCAGCTGAAGGAATAATTTTGAAAATGTATGGACGCGCTTTATGGTATTGCATTGTATTTCTAAGGTGAGGCTAAGCCTTCATTAGAAGACTGTCTTAAGTTTTACTCATCGCTTAGGGATACCAATATATATTTAACAAAAATCTATAATGTATGGGAAAGGTACACGACCTCAATTGCTTGTTCAGGCCACTGCTGGTATAAGGGCCTCCACGAAAGAGAGCTTTAGAGGACCCCTCTCGATGGCATTTTGGTTGACTTTTTCATGCTTGTCAGACATCTTAGAAGTGGTGAGAGTATCCACACTTTAGCCCACCGAACGTGACACTACAGAATCGACTAACGTGGTGAACACATTTGTAACCAAATGCGTGGTTGAAGGTTCACCTAATTATTATTGCAATTCAATGGTTTTAAACTTATATTGAAGAATTATAATGTATTACAGGCTCCCTGTTTTAAGAAATGTGCCTTTAAAGAAACAAAGTTTTGACTTGATTGATTGATAGATGTTTAAACTGTCGCGCCAGAAGATCGAATCTAACCAGCGACATGTGGATTGCAAGTCCAGCGCATTGACTGTTACACCATGGGAGCATCCATTAAGACAATAAATACGTTACAGTATTTAAGACAAAGATCCCCGGTATAACCTTTAATAGACTGTTGGGGCAAGTGCTGTTAGCGAGCACCTATGAAGGCCGGCACGGCACACTCGGGGGTGGATGGCCAGCAACACACCCACCTTTGTCTCCCCAGTGGCGATGTTTACACATCGCACCAGATACTCAGTTGAGGCTGAGTTTGACCTAGGGGAGGCCCAAGATCGGTTCAGATAATCGTCACTGGTGTTGGCCGTGAGCAAGGATCGAACTCAGGTCGTCGGGTTCGTAGCGCAGCGCTCCAACCGCTACACCACTCCCTTTATTTCAGTATATATACACACACATACATATTTTACTTTAAAACCATTGAATGAAAGTGGTGTTTAATGCTCAAAGGAGCATTGGGCACAGTGCAAAAAAATGTATTTTGACAGAAAAAATCCTCTCCAACGTTGACGTTCCACAAAGCGATACAAGTTTTCATGACCCTTGAAGAGATGATAGGCCGGGCCAAAACCTCCAACGCGAGATTTTAACTCGCAACCCTCGGAATGAGGAGTCTCGAGCGTGAACCAATCGCGGCACCACCCGCACGGCTAATATAAGAGGCGATTAAACTTGCAATGAAAAATGTAATGAGGTGCAGTGGCGGTCGGAGTTGGTGAAAACGGAGCCGTTGACATTCGTGGCAGTGAAATGTCTAAGTCATCACAGGCCCTGGCTAGAGGGCCGTTGGCCACAATCCTTTGGCGGAACCTGAACGGCAAGTAAATGCAATATTGAGATCAAGATACAAGTACAAATACAAATAATAATGCACATTTGGCGTGGGTTTTTCTTCTTCAATATTGAATGATTAGCATCTCCAAGTGATTCATCGCCAAGATCGTTATGCACGGTTAAAAAAGATAATTGATACATTGACCGCAAAACCATATTGAGTGAAAATATAAGGCCGTCGGATATGCAAGAGATGAGACGCACATATTTTTCATGTGGACCATTTTTTTTTATCAGTGCCAAATAAACAACCGCTGTGATAAGAGCCAGTTGATATTGATATTTTTCATTTTTTATTTCAAACACCAATACAGCTTCCTCATATATATACGGGACAGAAATCGAGATATCCCTGTGTAAATCTCTTTGAGCAAATATATTACCCGAGTTTGACATACAGCCTATATCTCAAAAGACCAGTTGTCCATATTGTTGCCTCGTTCCTTTCTTCTCTCAAATAAATAAATGATTTGTATTCTGATCATTTGTATTCAATAAACTCTGCCGGTGTGGAGCAGTGGCACAGTGGTTAGCACGCTGCACCGTGAACCTGACGACCTGAAATGCAATTCCTGGTCGTGGCTAAAATCAGTGTCTCGCGATATTTGAACCATTACTGGGTTCACCAACTTCACCAACTCGCACTGACCAGCCTGGTGAAGTATGATCAGACATCCCTATAACTGACACAGCGTGTGGAAGCATTCGTCCAATAGTGCATTGACCAAGGGCTGCACATTCATTCACTATGCATTTAGGTTTGTAAACTTAATATGACTCTATTACTTCAAATGTGTTTCTTCATTTTGCTTATGAGTTAACGTTTGTCAGTAACCTTACAACCCCTTTTGTTTGAACAGTTATGATAACGGTAAATTGTGAAACTAAACTATTTTTTTTATTTTACCAGGTAAGGCCCACTGAGCTATATAGTTCCTTTTCAGTAGTGACGTGGCCACAAACTCAACGACGTGGCTCATCACGTGGACATTTATAGCAACCAAATATTATAAACGCCATGTTTCTAAATATGGAGAGAAAATCTGGAGGACTCAGAAAAAAATCCACATGACCACAGGGAGAACATGCAAACTCCAAATATACAGGCGTCAGGATTGGGATTGAACCCTTGACCTCCTGTATAACCAGCCCTGCAATTGCTTCCTCATGCCTCTGCTGGCAGAAGGGAGCTCTTGAGAGCCCCTTCAGAGGGTAATTGGCCTACTCTTCCACACAAGCCAGACGTCACATGCGATCTGCCGATCGACTGTCCGGGTTGAACCCATTTACGCTGCTGGGTTGACTGGGTGGAAGGGCTGCAATAAAGCTTTTACCTGTTTCAGCTGCCACGCCGGGAGGTAGAATCGATGTCCTCTGGAAACAGTTCATTAATTGTTGTTGCCCCATTTCACGAGACTTATGGGAAAGCAAGGCCTCGGCGATTATTTTGTCGTATGGTTCCCTTGTTCCTGGCAATAATGCAACGTTTGTACCAGTAATGTTAGCTCAAGAATCACGTTTTCTTAAACGGCCAAGTAAAACAAAAAAATATACGCGTTTTATTTTTTGCATATTTACCGTGATGTCAAAATTCATTCCATCGTGATATTGCCGTGCGCGCGCGCACGCGCACACCAAGTGTTACCGTTATTCATTTTATTTATTTTTTCCCCATGTAGAACAATTCAGATGATTAATCAACGCCCTGAGACGAGAAAGAGTGGGCGGCAATGAAAGCAAATTGCATTTGCGGAAAGTGCCGCACTTGTGACTTATCCTTTCCCACTGACGCTTCGATGTTTGCCTTGCAGAGCACCGCCGCGGAATATCAATGGCATTATCACGCGTGGCCATTCAGCGACCGGACGGTCATTCAATCTTTGAGACTGTGCAGCTTTAAATGAAATTAACTCGGGCACATTTCCCGAGCCCGTCTTTCCCTCGGTTCTTTGGAGGGTTCAAGATGCCGTTAGGAAATTGGTAGTGTCCAATAACTCACCAACGTGTCCGCGTATCCCCGCGATGCCCGTGGAAATTGCCCAGGTGTCTCGTTGCTAATAAATGTAATAATGTCTCTGAGTGGCCCGAGTTGCAGGAGTTACACGCTGGCGCTCAAATCATACAGCGGCTGCAGCGGCGGCGGATTGGCGAGGAGTCTCAGGAACCGATGGGCGGGGTTGTGGGTGGCGGGGCAATAAGATTTAATTTTCCATGCTTCCGAAGGCGCCTTTAGATCCTCCGAGCCTGGCACCGACACTTTAATGGCCTCTGTGGTCTACCGCAAGAAGAATTTCCTCTCGAGTAACGCCTGCCATAATTTGCAAAAGCGGGCGAGCGAAACATTTGGTTAATGTGTCACTTCCCCTTTTAAAAATAATTAAGGCGAATAATGAAGAGCAGTCCCGTGATTGAGGGGTCTCCGGCTCCAGGAGAGAGTACTTAGTGGCATTTGATGAGCCCTGCCGCCAGTGCAAGGAACGTGCACCACTGCTAGCTGTCTAAGTAACACTGAACGGAGATGAGCGAATCATCGCAGTTTTGCCACATCCTCATATTCACTTGCCGAGTCTGCGTGACAGCCTTTGAAACGGCCTACTAAATATTTACGCACCCAGAATTAAATTGAGGACTGATGGCAGTGGTAATTGAGTTTTTTTGTATTCTGCCCCCCCCCCTCTCATACACGGGATTTTGACTGACCTCCGCCAAACAGTAACCTTATTCAAATGGTACATACGGCTCCCTAAAATTTGTATCTTTAGTTTGGCTCGAGTGTCAGAAGAGAAATGTGCCCAGCACTCAGCGGTGTCTTCAATTAACGACACGCTCCAAAGATGTGTGGCTTTCGGATCTCCCGAATCATATTAAGCCCCCCATCAACCTCTCTGTCTACCATTACCACGTAAAATTTTGATTTAAAGCTTTCGTGACTGCAGTAATTCATATTTTTAGCTCTTTTGGTAAGAATATGCATTACCACGTTATCACCGCATTCTGTGCTTCGCCGGGCGATGCCGTCGAGGACGCCGGTTCGATTCGATCTCCCGGCGTGGCAACGAAAACGATGGTGAATGTTTGTTAAAATCCAAGCCTTCTAAATCGGTGAGCCACAGTTTAGTCGATCGGCGGTTCGCGTGCGGTGGGGTAAAGTGTGGCCCCGGCCCCTCTCACCTCTCTCAAGTTTTGCCTGCAGCTGCAGTTGGTGGAGGAGTAGGCAAATACACTCCAGGGGGGAGGGCTCTCTTGAGTTGCCGCGAGTAGGAGCTCTTCCGCCAGTCGTGGTAGTGTGAGCACGCTATTGAAAGCCTGCAACCTGAGCTTTTACCCTTTGCTAATCAATATTGTTTTTATTTTGAAATACATTGAATGTATTGTTTGTTGTATTTTTTTTTGTACCGTTTGTTGTAACTTTCTGGCCCGCCCCTCCTGGATGTCTGTGAAAAAGAGCTGTATAGCTCATCGGATTTCTGCCAAGATGAATAAGCATTCTGATTCTGAAAGATTTCTGAATGGCGGATGCTTTTTCAAAAATATAAATGAGACCTCTTATAACGGCCTCTCCCTGGCATCGCGCGCCGTGATTTACACATTGTTTTTACAGGAACGCCCCAATTAAAAAAAAAAAATTCTAGTAATTGTACAGAATCCATCAACGCGTATCTTAATTGTAATTAAAACCTAATCAAAGCCTCTTTCTACCACTTTAACCCTCCCCTCCCTCCCCTGCTGGCTCGCAGAGGAGTTCCGGGCGTTTGTGCGCCGCCTGCCCTCGAGCCGCTTCCTCTCGCGCTCCGAGCTCTACCAGCTGTGGGCGTCTGAGCGGGAGCTGCAGCTGCAGTACGGCCGCGTCCGTGTCTACGCGGCCGGCGTCCGCGCCAGGGCGGAGCGCACGGCGCGACGGATTTACTCGCTGAGTCGCACCTGCGACAGCAACCCCACTGTGCAGATGCCGGCTGAGAGGTCGGTGTCGGTTAACATTTCTGCCCGGGAACTCACTCGACATTTCGCTCGAAATTTCGCTGCCCCGTGCTCGGAGCTTCTCCCGAGTCGGTTCCTCGAGAAGCTCCCGGCACGTGGAGCGAAACGTCGGACAACGTGTCAAACAGCACACCGTACAGGCTGCAAACGCGTGATCGGACGGCTATGGTCATTGTCGACTTCTTTTCAAAGTGGTAATTATTTTATCGATCCTGGAGAGAATCATGGTCTCGTGAGTCGACCTCCGACCGGAATTTGACCTCTTACGTTTGCAAATTTAGCTTTTTCTTTTTTGCCAGACAAACTGCGTAAATGGGATCAAATTATGGACTGCGTTACAGTATATCACACTGGTGGAGCGCGATCATTATTTGTGAAAAACAGGTGGACAGGAAAATCCAGTGCAGAAAATCCTTTGAGGTCAAACAGAGTCAAAGAATGATTCATATTCTTGGTTCTTTCGTTAAAGTCACCAAGAAGGGAAACAATAAAAAATAAAAAATATATATAAAACAATAACATTATCACGACGTTTCGACTGCAACACAAGCAATCATCATCAGGTGTGAAAACCACAGCAGGAAAATTTTCTTTCGTGACTGCAGGGATTCATATTCTTGGTTCTTTCGGTAAAGTCACCACGTAGAAGGGAAACAAGAAAATAATAAAAATTTAAAACAGCAAGAAAATTTTCTTGCTGTGGTTTTCACACCTGATGACGATTGCTTGTGTTGCAGTCGAAACGTCGTGAGAATTTTATTGTTTTATATTTTTATTATTTTATTGTTTCCCTTCTACGTGGTGACTTTACCGAAAGAACCAAGAATATGAATCCCTGCAGTCACGAAAGCTTTAACTCAGAATGTTCCCTGTTCAAGTGAGCATTACGGCAATGCTCATTTCCTATATACAGCCCTGAGCAAGTGGTGGAAATTCCACATTGCTATGCTGGGGTAGAGTCTATACTTAGGGACAACCACTGTTGACGACCACAGAAAATTATATTGATTTAATCGACCATTGAGGGATGATGGGCTAAGTCAACCCCCACCAACCAGGATTTGAACTCTCAACCTTCCGATTGCAAGTCGCTCGCTCTGCCACTGAGTCACCCCACCGGATAAAACCTTCCAGATAATGAAACAATAATGTACTCTTAACCTGAATAATTCTAAATTGGTTTTAAGTGTGCGATGTACTAAGACAGCAATGTTAGGACTAACTAAACGGCAGGCTAAATTGTATTCACTACTGTAATTAACCTGAATGGGGATACCAAATTGCATGCTCATTGTTATATTTCAAAGAACGTTAGTTAAGCACGTTGTTACGGAGCCAATATGTATTTTTATTTCGAGTAATTTACTTTTGCAGTGCTAGAGAGCATCTGGTTTTTTTTCCTTCGTAGGGAGCCTTCGCGTCTTTTAGAAAATGGCGAGCAATTATATATCAAAACAGCATCTTAAATGAATGAAACTAAAGATACACAAGCATTACGAAAACATGTCAATCACATGAGAGCCACGCCTCTCATTTGATTGACATTAACTCTATTTGCGACCAACATTATCACGTGTTGCTCACAGCTCGGGAGCAGAGGTCCGAGGAAACGTCACCGATCATGTGATGTCATCACGCGCACGTGCACTGTGTGGCGAGATGTTAACTACCTCGCCCGGTATACAGGAGGTCGTGGGTTCGATCCTGACCCTGACACCTGCTGTATGTTTGGAGTCTTCGTGTTCTCCCCGTGGTTGCGTGTTTTTTTTTTTTCCGGGTACTCAAGTTTTTCCTTTCCACATTTAGATTCAACATCACGCGCTTAGAGTATTTGACCGCTGTAAATGCCCACGTGATAAGCCACTTCGATTTGTGGCCAGGTCGCCTCTGAAAAAGAGCTGTTTAGCTCAGTGGGCCTTACCTGGTGGAACAAAAACGGTTTGTTGTTGTATGTACGCACGTAGAACTTCTTTCCTACCGTACGTAGCCAACCGTGCTGCTCGGAGGCGCGGGTGAAGGACCGGTTTAGCAGCTTCACACCTGAGACAGCGCATCGCTCACCCGCCCCGTATGCTGCCTGGCAGGCCGCTGTCCGTCTGGCTGGAGCGAGTCCAATCTCTCCTCTACTGCTCGGGCCACGGAGCCAGCGGCGTCGCCAGCGGCGGCACCGGCGGCTCCGGCGGCCCCGGCGGAAGTGGCGGCCGTTTCTCCGAGGAGTCCGGCGTGTGCGTGTGTCCCGCCGGCTCGCCAGGCCCCGCCGTGTGCCAGCATCCGCTTCCGTGCCGGACGGGGCCCGGCACGCGCTGCACGTCGTGCGACCGCGGCAACGCGACGCGGTGCGGCGGGTGCGGCGCCGGCTACACGCTGGCGCCCGACGGGACGTGCAGACCCCAGGCGGCGCGGCCGGACGAGACGGAGCTGTTCATCGACTTCGAGTCGGACCTCGACCTGCAGGTGCGACGGCGGAGCGTTCGTGAACACGAATCACATTTTTTTTTTTTACACACCTGATGACGACCGTTTGTGTTATGGTCGAAACGTTTTGAGAATTTTTTTTATTGTTTTATATATATTTTATTATTTTATTGTTTCCCTTCAACGTGACTTTACCGAAAGAGCTAAGAATATGAATAATGTTTACGTTGTGAACTGTTCTTTTTTTTTTACCTACCAGGTGAGGCCCCCACTGAGCAAGTGTAGATCTTTTTTTCAGAAGCGACCTAGCCGGCCACAAATGATAGCTCAACGAAGTGGCTTATAATCGCGTGGAAATGTGTCGCGGCCGTTTTACTCTGAACGCATGTTGATTCTAAAATGTGGAGGGCAAAACCGGAGAGACCCCGGGATAACGCCACGCGACCAGCACACGGGGATTGAACCCACCCACGACTCTCCTGCATATGAGGCCAGAGAGATAACAACTCGGCACTGAGGCGCCGCAACATCGACAGCTGTTTAATGCACGTGTCAGCGATCGCACCAGAGTGCAACAAGGGTTCATCGCAAAACATCCGGCGGATACCGTAGCCTCGAGCCCAGGAATATCGGCGGCTCCGCTTGATCTCCCTTCCGCGGACGTTATCGCCCTAACGGCCCACCCTGACCGCCTACATTGCTGCTCGTGCGTCCTTAGCCGCGGCCACGTCCGCGCGCTTCCAACAAGTGCTCCCCCTACGAGCGTCTGCCCGCGAAGTCTTATTCAGTGTGAACGCAACTGTCCACAGCTGGCATGTGTCGGGTTTAATTAGGCGCGCCCCCCCCCACCCCCCCCCCGCCAACAGCGGGGGGGGGGGTGGGGGGGGGCGTTCATTAGCAGGTGCTTGGTCGATCGTTGTTGTTGTTGTTTCTTTCCCCCCCCCCCCTCCCCCCCCACAAATAATCCGGATGATGAACCAGTGTTCACGGGCGGATTAGGGGCAATGTAGGATCTGTGTTAATGTCATTTGCCGTGCAGATGGTTGAAGGGATGCAACTAGGATTCTGCAGCCCGAGGGCAAAATGCCGAGCGCCATCTGCGCAACGCAGCTCGTACCACGTCCGTGTGTGTGTGTGTGTGTGGTTTTTTAACCCTTCCCAAGACGTCTGCAAGTTGCACGGTGCGGTGTCCAGTTAGTTCACTGCTGAATATCGTGAACGCGCAAGCGGCTCGCCGTTAGGTTTATTGAGAGAGGCGTAGCGCCGTTGTTTTTAAAGACATTGTCCTCAGCGCCGAGACAACGTAGCGGCACGACCGCCACTCTACGGTAGCTGGCGCCAAGCTGTGGCACACGCCCTCCGGCACGGCCTCGTGGGAGCCTCGGTACCGACAAAGTTAGTTAGTTGTAGTTTTTTTTTCTTTCTCTCACGGTTTAACACGTTGGCTTTTCCTACCGGTTTTAGCTTTGATGGTGGACGCGTGTACATCATCGGCGTTGACATACGTGTCCATCATCAGAACGGAATCGGAAGAGAAACTGACGTACGTACGTCAGTTTCTGTACGTACGTCAGTTACGTACAGAAACTGACGTACGTATGTCAGTTTCTGACGACGTGGTCTCATTCCGAGGAGGTGCTTTGCCAGGCACACGCGGTTTGGCGCTAGGCAGCAGCAAGCCGAGCAGTCGCGCTTTACAGTGAAGGGGAAAAAAGTATTTGATCCCCTGCTGATTTTGTACGTTTGCCCACTGACGAAGAAATGATCAGTCTATAATTTTAATGGTAGGTTTATTTGAACAGTGAGAGACAGAATAACAACAAAAAAATCCAGAAAAACCCATGTCAAAATGTTATAAATTGATTTGCATTTTAATGAGGGAAATAAATATTTGACCCCTCTGCAAAACATGACTTAGTACTTGGTGGCAAAACCCTTGTTGGCAATCACAGAGGTCAGACGTTTCTTGTAGGTGGCCACCAGGTTTGCACACATCTCAGGAGGGATTTTGTCCCACTCCTCTTTGCAGATCTTCTCCAAGTCATTAAGGTTTCGAGGCTGACGTTTGGCAACTCGAACCTTCAGCTCCCTCCACAGATTTTCTATGGGATTAAGGTCTGGAGACTGGCTAGGCCACTCCAGGACCTTAATGTGCTTCTTCTTGAGCCACTCCTTTGTTGCCTTGGCCGTGTGTTTTGGGTCATTGTCATGCTGAAATACCCATCCACGACCCATTTTCAATGCCCTGGCTAAGGGAACGAGGTTCTCACCCAAGATTTGACGGTACATGGCCCCGTCCATCGTCACTTTGATGCGGTGAAGTTGTCCTGTCCCCTTAGCAGAAAAACACCCCTAAAGCATAATGTTTCCACCTCCATGTTTGACGGTGGGGATGGTATTCTTGGGGTCATAGGCAGCATTCCTCCACCTCCAAACACGGCGAGTTGAGTTGATGCCAAAGAGCTCAATTTTGGTCTCATCTGACCACAACACTTTCACCCAGTTGTCCTCTGAATCATTCAGATGTTCATTGGCAAACTTCAGACGGGCATGTATATGTGCCTTCTTGAGCAGGGCGACCTTACGGGCGCTGCAGGATTTCAGTCCTTCATGGCGTAGTGTGTTACCAATTGTTTTCTTGGTGACTATGGTCCTAGCTGCCTTGAGATCATTGACAAGATCCTCCCGTGTAGTTCTGGGCTGATTCCTCACCGTTTTCATGATCGTTGCAACTCCACGAGGTGAGATCTTGCATGGAGCCCCAGGCCGAGGGAGATTGACAGTTATTTTGTGTTTCTTCCATTTGCGAATAATCGCACCAACTGTTGTCACCTTCTCACCAAGCTGCTTGGCAATGGTCTTGTAGCCCATTCCAGCCTTGTGTAGGTCTACAATCTTGTCCCTGACATCCTTGGAGAGCTCTTTGGTCTTAGCCATGGTGGAGAGTTTGGAATCTGATTGATTGATTGCTTCTGTGGACACGTGCCTTTTATACAGGTAACAAGCTGAGATTAGGCGCACTCCCTTTAAGAGTGTGCTCCTAATCTCAGCTCGTCACCTGTATAAAAGACACCTGGGAGCCAGAAATCTTTCCGATTGAGAGGGGGTCAAATACATATTTCCCTCATTAAAATGCAAATCAATTTATAACATTTTGACATGCGTTTATCTGGATTTTGTTGTTGTTAATCTGTCTCTCACTGTTCAAATAAACCTACCATTAAAATTATAGACTGATCATTTCTTTGTCAGTGGGCAAACGTACAAAATCAGCAGGGGATCAAATACTTTTTTCCCTCACTGTAAGAGCGCCCAAATAGCTCAAGGGAGCCCCGGATTTATGAATGGAATAGGGGCGAGCGATAAATCAGCTGCAGTGTAATTATTATCGGATTTAGAAAAATGAATAAATAACATTCAAAGGATAATCCCTCCTGATCCCTATTTTTCTGTATCTCGCATCATCTATTTCAGTCTCTCGACTATGTATCTGTCAGTTTCACTGCACGGCTGCCTCGCCTGCTATCTCTCTTATTCTGTCTCCTCGCTACGTCCCTTTCGCTTGTCCAGATCTCTTCCCTCACGAGGACTTTATATATCTAAATGTGGTGGGGTGTGGGAGGGGTCCTCAAAGAGCCAGCAGCACCACCACCATCACACTTGTTGCGCATTTTACATCTCTTCGCAAACAAGCGTGGGTCATCAACATGCTTCTGGCATTCAATCTGTGGAAGGGAACTCCACCCCCCCCTCCCCCCCCTCAATGCATCACGCACATCAATGGAATGATGGCGACTCAATTTGACAAAATGGTTGCATCAGAATAAGAGGCCTAACGCCTGCAGGTGGTGTGCCATCAAACGGCCCCGCTGTGAACGTGCAGCAAAGAATGGTGAACGCATGGATGTGCTTTGTGTTGAAGCTGCTCAACTCAAGTCTTCACGCCTTGTGTATGCACGTGCATGTGTTTGTGTGTGTGTCACTCCGATCAGCCCAACCGATCATTTCCCCGAGGCAAATGCGCCTCTTGATAGGAAAGGGGTGCTTCCCTTTCAATGGCTCTCAGATGTCAGTGGAGGGTATAATCAGTTACATTTGTTATGCCCTTCTTTCCTAAGTACGGTAATCTCGTTATGATTATTGTAAGGCAGTGCGTCAAAACAGAATTAATGGAAAAATATGTTGCAGTAAAATCAATGTTTGATCTCGTGGAATCGTGGGTCATAGCTTAAGAGTGGAATACAATCCCATTACGTTACTACCTCTTGTACTCTATACAATATGATGAATTGTCACGATTTTGGATAAATGTTTCAATTAGCAAATTGTAATTTTTTTTGGTCTCAATGGTACAGACTCGTATGTGGAATCTGTGTATTGTTCCATCTCTTTTATTCTATTACCCTGAGTTAACATCTCGGTGGTGAGATGTTATCTCCCTCGCCTGGTATACAGGAGGTCGTGGGTTCGATCCCGACTCTTGGAGTTTGCACGTTCTCCCCGTGGTCGCGTGGATTTTTCTCCGGGCCCTCGGGTTTTTCCCTCCGCATTTAGAAACATCCGTTTAGAGTATTTGGCTGCTATAAATGTCCACGTGATAAGCCACTTCGTTGAGCTTTCATTTGTGGCCAGGTCGCTTTAAAAAAAAAAGAGCTATACAGCTCAGTGGGCCTTACCCGGTAAAATAAAAAAAAACAATAGCCGCAATGTTGGTGTAACATTTGAATTCACAGTAAATCGTCTTTTCTTCGACATGCATTTTGACGTTTGAATCACGAGCATAAAAAATATATATTTTAATTGATGATTTCATGATTCTCTACCTATAGTACACAGGGGGTATGCATTTGTTATTATCCTTGGTCAGCATTGACAGCGCTCCATTGACACGAGGGTGGTGGGACCTTAAGCAGTAGCACCCTCTCGGACGCATTTATTACTCATGTGAACTCTTTCTCATTCCGAGACTGCTGCAAGTATGCAGGGTGGGGGTCCCGTTCACCGCCGAGTCTTGCAAGGAGCAAGTGGCATAGTGCCGTTGTTTTTAAAGGCATCGTTTTACTCGCCGCAGAGAACTACCTGAACAGGTGGCTGGTGGGTAACGTCGGTCATCCGTGTAGCCCATAAGTCAGAGCAGAAATTGGGACCATTTAAGTTGGCAAAAACAACTTTAGTCGTACCGATGTAGCTATATGGCTAATAAGAGTGAATTACTTGATAGGCCCACTCGTTTTAAATGCTTTTGCATAATTCACCGTCATCGGCCACATAGGGCAATTGAAACCAGGAAGGTTATGCCACCTCAGGTGGTACCAACAAGTGAAATATCTGACCTGGTCTCGTAGACTAAGGAAGCCAATATGTTCATAGATAAAAAAAACATTTTTCAACGTGATTTTATTTGCGCTTTAGAACGTAGCTTTCGGACAAAATTTCCCAATCCCCCACCCACCGCATCCCACTAATAATGAATCCACAGTCGCCTCCGGGACAGGGGACACGTTGACCTAAATTTAAATAGCAGGCACTGGCGCATCGTGCGGGTAATTAATCACACTCGAGTTCTCAAATTCCTGGGGACTGTTGGGGGGGGTGTTGGGGGTGGATGAGCCCCTCCAACCGTATACAGCATCCCCAAGGCGGAGGCCGCAATATGGTTGTCACTTTTTTTGTTGTTTGGTCCAACCACTCGCCCAGACACCCACACCTTGCCGTCCAACCCAGCGGTACAACCAGGTGGATCACGGCAGGACGGTGGCGCGTGCCGGTTTTAAAGCGTGTGCCGCTCTCCCCACGTCTGGCCTGCGTGGAAGAGTCGGTCAATGCGCCCCCCCCCCTCCTCCTCCTCCTCTTTAATTCTCACACTTCGCCTCTCCTCCTCCTTCGACTCTGCCCGCTTCTCGTTGACACTCGTCTGTAGATCTCCTCCAAAGCCCTGCCCCACCTCATCATCTCGCCTCTCTCAACTTCCTTCCATGTCCTCACCTCTCGTCCTCTTCCCTGTACTCAATCCCATGTACCGTCCTTCACCTCTCCTCGCAGCCCTGCAGCGCCAGTAGTGGAAATTCCACATTGCTATGGTGTGGATGGATCTACCCATAGGACGACCACTGTTGACTTCCCCGCCTAGCGGTACTCATTTTATTGACCCCGGCAGAATGATGGGATGAGTCAACCCCCAAACAGGATTTGAACTTGCAACCTACTCATTTCGAACCACTCTGCCTCCCGCCGAGCCATCAGGCTGGTAGTATTATTGTCACAGTAATTATGACAATGATGCTTCCACTGGTATAACAATCGTTCCGCAGGTTCCATACATAAAGATTAATGAACTCGTTTTTTTAACGGGCAAGTTAAGTGCAGCTTTATAATGCTGTGAAGTTTATGTAAATCAGCTATTAGTGTAATTTGAGTCTGGGTTTTCCTCCACCCGTGATTAAACCGAGTCCTCAACTGGAAAGAGTGAATTGATGGTCTCAGGCCAGCCACCAATTACTCCACCCACCGACAACATCCACCATTCCCACTAGGTGGGAATTAAGTCACCACGGCGCTTGTGCCAGACCAGGTGCACTCCAAGGCCACGTGAAGTGTTAAAGGCTCGCTGACAGGAGGTCATGGCACATGACCTCCCGGTGCTCCGCTCGTTGTTGTGAGCGTCGCTCCTCTGCCCTCTGCTCTTGTTGGAGCGCGACTGGCTCCAACTGCCCAGTAGCGCCCTTCACGAGCCTCCTCCATAGAGGATGATCTTGACACCGCTGGTACCAGTCTTTGGCAAATCCACTCAGCTCCACATACCCCCGTACCACATCACTCCATCTCCCTCCAGCCCATGCCGCACCCATTTAGCACCCTTTATAACAACCCATATATGTATGTTGAACTTCTTTTGCACCATACATAGCCAACCGTGCTAATCGGAGGTGCGGGGGAAGGAAAGCAAACTAAGCACAACAAGCAGTTCTAAAGAAATAAGCTCTCAATCGAGATGACTTAAAATTGCGTAGCTCCTGTACCTTCCCAATATCAGAAGGAAGAGCATTCCAGACGGCCGCCGAAGCGCATCTGAAAGCGCCGCGCGATGCGGTGACCGTCTTCGTTCGATGGCCGAGCCAACAGCCGCTGCTGCTGCGCGGATGCCCGGAGTTCGCGTGATGTTAAACCCTCACCGACACCCTCCGACGCACCTCCGCAGGACCTGGAGCTCAAGTACCTCCTGCAGAAACGAGACCACCGCCTCGTCGTCCCGGACGCAGCCTTCGTGAGCAACGAGCTGCACCTCGACTCGTGGTTCGACCCGCTCTACCGCCGCCGCATGCTCATCAGCCTGCGCAGCAACCGCCACCGCCCCACCTCGCTGCACGTGCTGCTGGGCATCAGCCTGCACGTCTGCCACGCGAAGACGGGCGCCGGCCGTTCGGGCGGGGGCGGCAACAGCGGCGGCGGCGGCGGCGGCGGCGCAAACGGAACGGGCGGCAGCGCGGCGCGTGGGGAGCCGCTGCTCACCGTCTCGGTGAACCCCTTCGGCGGCAGCCACTCAGAGAGCTGGCAGCTGCCGGCCGGGAGGGACGGCTACCCCGGCTGGGAGAAGGTGCGGCACCCGGAGGCCGGGCCCGCGACGGGCTCGGGCGCCGCCGGCGCCTTCCCGCCACCGGGCACCGTCGTGCAGTGCCACAACTGGACGCTGAGCCTGGGCAACCGCTACAAGTCGTTCTTCGAGACGGTGCACATTTACATGCGCAGCAGGGGAGGCCTGAAGGTACGGGGGACGGCGGATCGCGTGCGCGGCTCCCCCCTCGTTCCGTGCCGGCGACGCGGACGATCGGTGGCGCGGTCGCCGCTTGTTGCGGAGGTTCGCGGTTTTAGAGCACCCCGCGGCCGCCCCGGTTAACGCTTTTTCCATTCTCTTTGGGCCTTTCGGTAAAGTCACGTAGATAGAAAAATAATCGATCACGACGTTTCGATCGCAGCACGGGCACTCACCTGATGACGATTGCTTGTGTTGCGATCGAAATCTCATCGTAACGTAACGTTGCGGAGGTCAGCAGTGGTTGTGCTATGGCGAAACTCGGGCCCACCACGGCAATGTGACATTTCCACCACTGGCTCTGCAGGGCTGTAAACGGGAGGTGAGCACCAATGGCTCGATGCTCATTTTATTAGCAATTCCCTTTGACGTTTACATTTTTATTGGATGACTTGAAAAAACTCTACTCCTTATTTTTCTTACGTTTTTTTTTTATTGAACAAGAGTCCATTACAAAGCACGAGCGATAGGGAAAAGGGGTACAGATATTCCGTGGACGACAAGCCCGAGGCTAGGTACCCACGGGGTAAGGGGAGGGCGATTGGGCTCACTGTCCCCCTTTTCACGTAGGAGTAGCGATCTGGAACATGGTATTTGAAGGGGGTCTCCTCCATATACTTAACCACGGTCTCCATACATGTGTTCATCATTACGCGTGTTCATCACGTGTTCATCACGACTCGCCGATGGCGCTCAGCACAGATTTCTACCTTTCCACGAAGCATTCGCAACTTTAAAATGTTTTAGATCCCATGAATCATCACACCAGACAGGAAATATCACCGTTTTGAGGGAGCGTCACATCTGAACCAGTCCTGGGCCCCACCGCTCTTCACCAACCTGCACTGGTAAGCGTGGTGAGGTATAGTCACACATCGGCCGTGAGCGACACTGCATAGGCAGGCGTTCATCCCAGCAGTGAATTGACCGAGGGCTGTGCACAATTTTATTGTTATATTCTTTGTGCACGAGTGTTCCTTGCCACAATTGGGCATGTAAGACAATGCCACGCGAGCGGCATTAATAACGGCATGGGCAGCGCCAACGGAATCAGCGTTGCTTTTAGAAACTGCAACGCAGCATCAGCAGCGGAAGCATCATTAATACAAAAAAATATATCGGCCGCAGCAGCAGCATAAACAGCAGCAGTGGTGCAAACAGGCGTCCTGGGGATGGCAATAAACCGCATCTGGTGTTTGTGTCATCTAAAAACATTGCTGAGGAAGGCAAGGGAAAAGCCACCTCGGCTGTCCTATCCAGGCTATGGTTAGATAACTCTTAAGTATGAAGAGCGGATAAGCTGCCACTTTGTCTCCTTCATACATCTGTCCGTCGTAAATAAAAATAAAAACATTTCTTGCACGACCCATCGGAGTCCATGATTTCTGCAGCACTGCTGCTGATTGAGCACAGGCAAAATCAGGACCGGTTCCGGCACACAGCGTCGCATCGGCTGAGCCGGGCCTGTCGGAATCAAGCACTGGCAAACCGCCACAATGCCACAGGCAAGGACTCTGCTCCGTGAGACAAGGGTCCTTGCTCAACTCAAAATTAAACGATAAATAACACTCATCGTTACATTGTGTTACGTAGTACGAAGGGTTAGCGTTGTGCGGTGGTGGGAGGGGGAGCGAGATCAGATGGGATAGAGGGACCAGACCAGGTCGCCCATTCCCGTTCTGAAACATCTCCAAGCTGCAGGGTGGGTGTCCCGTTCACCGCTGAAGCTCGGAACGTGTAAGCGGCTCAGCGTTAATTTTATTTTGAGATGCGCATCACCGTTTTTTTTTTAAAAGACATTACACTCACCGCAGAGAAGTATAGTGCCGAACTGGCCTCGTGGGGAGCCTCGGTGCATCTTCCGATCTGAAGCCGTGGCGATAAAGTGATTTAATCTTAGTGCACGTACGTCATCGGAATGGGAATGGGTCACGACGAAACATCAGAGAGAGCAGCAACAACAGCTGGAAAATAGCAGCCACAGTGTAAACAGCATCCTTCCCCACATCGTGTTGTCCTTCGCCGCACCTCCAAATAGCGCGGTTTGGCGATGCACGGCGCGAAAGAAGTTCAACGTACGTGCGTTCGTCATCAGCAGCAGATAAAAACAGGACCAGCAGGAACAGCAGTGCCAGCGTTGCACGGCAGCGGGACAATGCGTGGCATTTCAGAAGCCGAGTTTGTTTGCTGTGCCGTGTGGTGGAGCGCCATCTCCCCTTGTTGGCTCCATCGCCCGAGCTCACCCCATGCCATTTGACCCCACTCCCTCCGCTTCAACAAAACTCGTTCTACTTACCTGCTCATTACAAACATTGTAAAAACTGCACAAATGATATCCCTCTTCTCTCGTTCCCATGCTCCCCACCCCCACGGACTTACTCGTGCCAACCAATATATTGACTGTCATACAACGTGGCCGATGACGATGGTTTATTGCAACTGCATCCGGAACAATCAATAGACCAAATATAACCAAAATCTCCCTTACAACAGACTTTTGGAGCAAGTGCCGTCAGCGAGCATCTATAAAGGACAGCACGGCACACGGAGGGGGGTGGAGTGTGGTTGGTCAGCACCACGCTCAGCCACGTTTGTCTCACTTGTGGCGATGTTTACACCAGGTACTCACTTGAGGCTGAGTCGATCTACTAGGGGAGGTGCAGGATCGGTTCAGAAAATCGCCACTGGTGACGTTGGCCGTGAGTGGGAATTGAACTGGGGTCGTTACATTTGTAGCACAGCGCGCTAACCACTGCATTACTCCACCATAGTCACCGTAAAACGACTCACAAACTTCCCTCCCTCCATCCACTGCCTCCACTGCCTCCACTCCCTCCCCTCCCTCCACTCCCTCCCCTCCTGTCCCTCCCTCCACCCCCTCCCCTCCCCCCCCTTCCTCCCTCCACTCCCTCCCTCCACTCTCTCCCTTCCCTCCACTTCCTCCACTCCCTTCCTTCCTCCCTCCACTCCCTCCCTCCACTCCCTCCCTCCACTCCCTCCACTCCCTCCCTCCACTCTCCCTCCACTCCCTCCTTCCCTCCCTCCACTCCCTCCACTACCTCCCTCCACTCCCTCCCCTCCCTCCCTCCCCCACCCCTCCACTCCCTGGCTCCCTCCCCCACCCCTCCACTCCCTCCCGTCTTTGCAACCCAAAGTCAGGTGGGCTCCTGACCAACAACCGGACGGAGAGCAGCGAATCGGCCGACACGTCCGACCCTCCGGCCAAGTCCCAGCCACCACCGCCACCTCCGCCGTCGCCCCGCCGCGGCTTCATGAAGATTACATCGGTGCAGGTGTTCGGCTACCGCCTGCCCTTCAACGCCGAGCTGCTGCGCTCTACCGTGATGCGCTCCGGCCAGGTGCAGGCGCAGGGAGGCGCCGCTATCGCCGCCACCGCCGCCCAAACCCAGCAGCAGCAGCAGCAGCACCAGCAGCAGCAGCAGCAGCAGATGCTGGCGCTGTCCGAGCTGCGGGCTCGAGTGAACTGGCTGGCGCCGGCGACGCGCCACCCGCCCTACGACCTCTTCGGGTGTCTCCTGCGCCACCGCGTGCGTCTCAACGGCACGGAGGTGGCGCGGCTCAACCAGGCGCTGGACGCGTTCGATTCCGCGGCGCTGCTCATGCCCGAGACGGAAAGGACAAAGCTCTGCACGTAGTCGTCCGGCGCGGCGAGCCCTTGCTTCCGTCGACGAGGGAATTTTAAGAGAGGACGAGCGAGAGCGAGAGCGAGAGAGAGAGAGAGAACGAGCGAGCGAGAGAGAGGAGGAATGAGCGAGAAGAAATTAGAAGATGAGGATAAAGAAATGAACATATATGTATATCTGTCTATAAAAGTCGAACGATGCAAAGATGCGCTCGCGCGCGGATCAAAACGCACGACGTGAATGCGTTTTGAAGCGGCGTCGGAAACGTTTTTGAGAACAAGATATCGCATATACATCGGGTTCATGTTCCACGAGCAGATCACCCAGAAATGCACCCCTAATGATTCTCATTTACATTTGTTTTAACATTCGCACACAAGAGATCGTGTTCGCCAGATTGTTGAAAGACGCCCAGGGGAGTAAGACGCCCAGGGGAGTAAGACGCCCAAGGGAGTAAGATAAAAAGACAAAGGTCCCCCGTATAGCCTGTAACAGACCTTGAGGGCAAGTGCTGTTAGCGAGTAGCAGCTATGAAGGCTGGCACGGCGCACGAGGGGGTGGGTGGTCAGCACCACGCCCCGGCTGCCTTTGTTAGATTTGGTCACACACACTCACACACACACGCACACACACCCGCACACACTCACACACGCACACACACTCACACACACCCACGCACACACACGCACATACACACGCGCACACACACCCACGCACACACACACGCACACACGCGCACACACCCACGCACACACACACACACCCACGCGCACACCGACCAAAATTAAAAGATGCATCCCCAACTTTGGCTGTAACATACAGATGTGGGGGCGAAAAGAAAATGCGTCTTAATCTGTAAAATACGTTGATGGTTAATAATCAGGATGATCGAGAATACAAATTTTAATAATATTATTATTACCTCTGGTCAAATTAAATATCAGATCTCGACAACGAAGCATTCTTTTGTCTGCACGGTGCTTGATAATGCGGCCACCGCAAGCGTACAGGGCTCTTGCTATGAGGACTGCAGCCGGCAACGTAGCGAAATCCATTGTTGCGCTGCACTTAGGTCACCACTTCTATGCTCCCCTCGCCCACACCCACATGCACTGCCCAGCGACATTGACGTTGATGTACGGTCAAAAAACCCCTCGTGACATGCACAGGCGTAGGGGGAAAGCCTTCATTCAGGGTTAGATTGTCAAAGGGCTGTACATTATTATTGACGTTGACGCACGGTAGTTACATCAGTGATAGGGCCTAAACGATGACCCAAACAAAAGTGGATTGTTCAAGTGATCTTGTTCTCAGAACTTGTTGACCAACTCTCGTGAACGCACACGCAAACACACTCGCGCCACAAAGACAGAGATCCCCCGTGTAGCCTTAACAGATTGTTGGGGCAAGTGCTGTTAGCACCCATGAAGGCCGGCACGGCACAGCAAGGGGTGGGTGGCCCCCAACCACACCCAACCGCCTTTGTCTCCCCAGTGGCGATGTTTTATAAATCGCACCAGGTACTTATTTGAGGGCCAAGTCAACCTAGGGGAGGACCAGGTTTGGTTCATATAATCGTCTTCATAGCACAATGCACCAACCGCTACAGAACCGCCCCATACCACGCTAGCGCGCAAAAACAAACATGCACACTTATCAACAGCACCAAAAAGAAACATCACATTCGTTTGTAAATCTATTAGATGTTGCCATACCATTTGAGACAGCAAATGCGTTTTATCGGCAAATGCTGAAGCTATGAACGCGATTGGTCGAGGTGGCTCCTAAGTGCAATCGCTACTTGTGTCCATGGTGATGTAAGTTGTATTTATTGAATGAAGCGAAAACGGAGGCTGAAACGACCGTGCATTTCGTTCCGCGCGAGTGTTTTTGATGACGGGAAAAAATATATATATAACATCAATGATGATTCGACCAAGCGTTAGAATATCGAGGAAGTGAAATACGGATCAAACATGTCTAATTTTCAGCATTCAAATGCGCGGGTGAAGTTAAGTAATGCGCTCTTGTAGACAAAGCAAAACTGTTGTCCATGCAAGCGGTGGATCGGGGAATATTTTTTCTGCTTTCTTTTCTTTTCATTGTCGTTGGAGAAAAACAATGATGCACGCAAGTGGCCCCTGCCTTTTCATTGTTGCCAGAGTGGACCTGTCATGGGTTGTGTTTGTCTCGAGTTGCGACCCAGGAGATGCACCTTGCATGAGCACGATGGATGATGGGCAGAGGCAGCAGGGTGAGGGGAGGGATCTGGGTTTAACTTTGACCAGTGCAAGACGTGGCGACATTTTATAATCAAAGACGCGCTGTGGACTCTTGTGAATTCACCGACTCTGTGAACAAGACAAGACCAAGCCAACAATTGTAGTTAAATATGGACTTAACAAACATTTCGGAATGAATAGTCGTACATTTTAAGTGTTTCGTTATTTCTGGGGGGGGGGGGAGGGTGGGGAGGTTGTTTTTTTTCATTTTGTTTAAGACTGGGATGACGGTTTGAAGGATTCGCACAGCTAATCGCGAAGTTGGACCCACGCAGCCCACTCTATGCTTAATTTATAACTGTGAAAGTCAAAATGTAATGACAAGAGTTTTAAATGTTGGAATACACATTTATTAAAAGGTATTTCTATTGCCGTCGTGTTTGTGACTGCTCGGGTTCCGTAACTCGCGTTTTTTTTTTTCAATGTTATTTCTACGTTTGTTTTATATTTGCAAGTTTACACCGAGTCCGATTTTTCGTTCGATCTCACGATCACGTTTACGAAAAGGCGGTTCTCTCGCCAGCGACAAAATCCACCCCGAACGTTGCCGAAAACTGTCACATTCTCAGAAGCTAAGCAGGTAATTTTGAGCGCGGTTAGCACTTGGCTGGGTAGTGACCACCAGTGCTTGCGAGGTGGTGTGCGCGCGGAACTGTGGGGTGGCCAGAAATGTGTCCGTGCACTCCGGGATTTCTCTCGCACGAAGTCAAGACGCTCGTGAAGCACTGCGTACATTCGCGGGTGTGGCCGTGGAGCGCCCGGGTGCGTTCCCCTGGGTGTACCGCCAGCCGGTCGGCACCGACGTCCCACGTTTGACGCTACGTGCTGCGAGCATCCGGTTCCTAAACAAAACAAAAAAAGAGCTGAAGGAGCTTCCAGAACGTGGAGCGAAACGTCTGAAATCGTGCCGAACAACACGCGTAGCAACCCGAAAACCACATCGGAGAGCCAAACCCCCATTAATCGCATTGGCCAATCATACCAGTATTTAATCTAAACCTTAACGTTTTATTTTACCAGGTAAGCCCCACTGAGCTATACAGCTCTTTTTCAGAAGAGCCCTGCCCACAAATGATAGCTCAACGAAGTGGCTTATGTGCAAATGCATAGCAGCCAAATATACTAAACGCGTGTTGATTCTAAACGTGGAGGGAAAAACCGGAGGACCAGGAGAAAAAAATCCACGCGACCACAGGAAGAGAGAGAAGCATGCAAGGAATGCCAACTCCAAATATACAGGCGTCAGTGTCGGGATCAGCCGCGGTGCCGGATTATCCCAGTAGCAACAGTAGCTACACATGTAGTAGTAGCTACGGGCCCCACACTATCAAGGGCCCCGCGCTAAATGTTTTCAAGATATCATTTCCGGTTCAGTGATTCTGCACTTGCTCTATTACTATAGTACTATACCGCCTTCAACTTTTTTGAACGACTGGGTGTTTAAGGTGAGCGATTTGTCGTATTATCTGGCTGTATAGCAAGTGAAAAAATACAATTACTTTACTGTGCAAGTTAAACAATTGTGTTTTAATATTTGTGTCTTTTTTATTTTAGGGCCCCTTTATAACATATGTTACAGGCCCCGCACAAGCTTAATCCGGCACTGATCATCAGGGCGCTTCGGAAAACATGAATCTCTCGACTCAGTGAGGCTTTCCCTGGCTAAACAATTGGCATTATCATTGTACATCTATTTACATATCCTTTCTCTCATGCTCTCACTTGCGCACACACATTCAAGTTCGGTCGACGCACAATCTTGTTAAATTGTGTCAACATCGCCAGATGCGATGGCTAAAACCATCCTTCGGACGGCGGTGAGTGTGCAGCAGAGGCAATGCATAAGTCGCGCGCTCGCACACACGCACACCCAAACTCGGGCCCGATGTTGGGAATAGATGCTTATTGTACCACGCAGCTCGATCCATGTATGGATACACCACGAAAAAAGGAGGGAGAAATTACAGATAAAAGTACGTTTTCTTTTCAGAGCCTCTACGCATCTCTCACCAATGTCACTCTCTCAACATGCCACCATGTCCTTTCTCAAGCATGTTGGCGATCTCGTGCTGCCATGTAGCTCTTGTCAATGATGTTGCTCAAGAACTTTGCATTATATACTCTCTCTCTCTCCCAGTTGCATATCTTTGTTTCAGTTGCTTATGTAACGTAATTCGCCCGTCTGCCCTGGCTTCTTGTCCGCATAATTGTCCCCTTCCAACAATTATATTCAGTCTCAAATTGTCCCATCAAATGTCCGAGACATCTAAATTAGCTTTTTTCTAATTATTATCATTAATTTTATTTTTGTGTACCCTGCTGCTACCCGTATTATAGTTATTTCACTCATTGTCCATCCATAATCACTTTTAAATTCCTCCTTCTGTTGCTTCAACGTTTCCTTTGGAGGGTCTTTATAATTGTTTTATAATTGTATTTAATTGTTTTCACATCCATCCAGCTTTCACATCCACACAGGGGGAACAGACCTGCACACATAACACACTTCTAATTCTCGTCGTTATTAAAACAATATTATTTTTCATTTTCGATCCAATTTTCTGAAAAATATCTCTTCGCCACTGCTTGTTTTGTTTATCTCAATACTCTCTGTAGGATGTGGGGACCATCGCTTCCACGGGATCCAATCAGCTGCTCAAAATAAAGAAAGTGGGTCATTGTAAATCAGTGTGGTGGGGGGGGCTAGATATCATCCTTGCACGGCACCATTTCAATCTACCTGCATCTATAAACACATTATTATTTAATCTTGATTTGAAACTTTCGTGACTGCAGGAATTCATACTCTTTGGGTCTTTTGGTAAAGTCACGTCGATAGAAAAATAACGAATAGATGACGACGTTTCGATCGCAACACAAGCAGTCGTCTTCGGATTAGCCGAGTTATGCCTAGCTCTGCGATCTTACATTGACTTGCAAATTCCATCTCTAGCCCCCCGCCCACTTACCCTTGGGTTGTACCCATGTCAAACGCATGTAACCTTCGGTTGCAGTAGCTCTCTCGCTACAATTCTTCCTGCCTCAGCAGTCCGCCTGCTGTATTGTTTCACCTGAAGACGATTTGCTTGTGTCGCGATCGAAACGTCGTGTTCTATTAGTTATTTTTCTATCTACGTGACTTTACCGAAAGAACCCAAAGA